GCTACCTCACTACAGACAGTACATAACAGTGTATATGCAACTTGTTCCGACCAGTTTCGCCAAGCGAAGTGAGGCGCCGCGGGCCGCACTTGCTGTCCGCTCGATGTTGCGTTGGCTCGTTCTGAAAGTTAGATCTGAAGGGCCGAAGGTTATCTCGAGGTGCGAAATTTCAGCTTTCTCGGTTCGGGGTCGTAAATAATCATCGATCCTGCTCTGATTCCTGCAGTCGCACAATTGATCGACCGGAAACTCAAACGCCAACCAGCAGCTTCCCTGCCGTGTTTGCTTCAGTGTGTTGAGTGGAGTATCAACCACCATGCATCATCACTGCATCTCGTGAGACGAGTTCCCTCGCCTCGCCTTCAGTACTCGCTGAATGTCTTGCAGGAGGTTCTTCCTAGTGAGTACGCAGCTCTGCGAGAATGGCAAGGGTTGCATCCTTGCACTCCTATGCAGCTATGCACTCCTCACATGCCTTACCGCAAGATTTTTAGGCTTCATACTCAAACTGCGTCATAGGTGGAAGATCCTTTCTGCTCCTGCAGGTCGAGCCACGACAATGCTGTCCAAGTTGACTAGAAACCTGCTTCTGTAAAGCTCGTCGTAATTGCTGCAGTCCTCTTTGCAGCCCGAGTTCGCGGCACGTAAGGTATGAAGGAGTTCCTGCTCAAACACAGTGCTGCCAGCCAAAACATCCACTTCCCCGAGTGATACTTGTCGCGTGCGATGCATGCGCATGCATGTCTGTCCCTGTATTTCTTGGTTGCAGAGGAATCGACAAATCTGGATGTGCTGCTGCATTTAGATGTGACAGAACTTTCAGCATGTTCCAACCGTTCAACGGGGTGCATGGACTTTCGAAAAAAGCAGCAAACCATGTGCTACATCACTACGTGGTGGCTGAAACGACCTCAGAGTCGCAAAGCTCGCCGTGTGTCATGTAGGATGTCCTACGGTAATACCGTGTTTCTCCTACGCACGATGCTCCGCGAGTGATCCATTGATGATGAGGGTCCTCTGTGCTGCCATCCTCACCTCCTGCATGAACAAACCAGCACCGCTCACACTCCAGACATCTGAAGGCACCATGCTGCGAAGCTGGCCAGTCTCTCTCCATCTCTCTTTCCTTCGACAGGGCTATGGGTGAGGGAACTTCCCTCACCATCTCTCTCTCTCTCGCCCTATGTTTGCAGGCCTCTCTTTTTGCCAAGAAGTCTTCGAAGGTGTTCCGAAACTTTTCCTTCCAGGCGAGGGCCAGAAAGATGCAAGAGCGGCAATGTATCGTAGAGTGGCAGATTGTCATGCTGATGAATCAAGCTTTATCAGCGAATCCCCTTCTCTTCCACATCTCCGTCTCCCAAACACGGGGTAGCCAATTCAATGGGCCATAATGGCTCCAAGAACACATGGATTGTCAGTCAATTGCGTCGGATATGGCACTTGCCCAAGTTATATGCAGACTGAGCAGACATGCCTTGCAGTTAGGCACAAGGGTTACAGATGCGGCTGCATTGTGTTGCAGCACAGCCTCTTGGTTGTGTCCCTGGTGTCGACACCCTGCGTTTATGTCAGACTTCAACAACCTCTGAAACACTGAGATCAAGTATCGGGATTGAGTTGTTACATAATTCGTTGACGAACTGTTCCAAGGGTTTTTGCTGGAGTCGCGGTGGTCACTGTCCTCATTGTCGAAGTCGAGGCCAGCTTGCAAGACCTCTTGTAACTCTTGTATGCTTGAGTCGAACTTCAAGGGCGTTTTCAAGACCCTGAGGAAATGGCCGCGTCACCAAGTGCGAAATACCGGTCCTGTCGTGTGTAAACGATTGCAAGCACTGTTAATAATTGGCACTCCTCCTCAAACATGTAAGCAAACTAGGCCTCCAGATATGCCATCTGTAAGCTGGGCCCTTCAAGAAGATTGCATGCCTGACTCAATGCAGATTCGGAGCTGCTCAGCACAGTCGGGGGCGTCGCCTGCTTCGCAGTAAGTCGCACAAGATCTTTCCGACGGTCTCCATCTGCTGACCTGGCAAATGATCTATGCCGTGAGCTGCCTGGGCTCCCATCCACATCCAATCCAAAGCCGGTTCGCGGGGAAATCGCGAAACCGGTAAGTGCCTGCACTCCGAGCCACTTAGAAGCGGCAAGATCTCGAGCACTTGCAAGACACAGGTGCTACCAGAACATGTCTCTGTCTACACTAACTCAAGAAAGCATCGGGCTCACAGGCCTGCTTGTGAAGCTGTGTGTTTAGAAGTTGCTCGACCGTCCCCAAGCGCAGCTCCCCACCAGCACCAGCCAATATTTTTTCAATCTTGCGCTGCTGCTCCTGATCTAACGAAGCAGCGACAGTGACAGCAGCAAACAACTTGTGCCAAGGACGGCACCAAGGCCGCGTCAGGGATCACGGGAAGCCTCGTGCTGTCTACATATCTGAAATGTCCGTGGATCAAGCAGCCGCTGTTCCGTATTGTATATTCATTCAGGTGGCATCATGCATTCGTGTCCGGTTGTCTCTTCTGCTTGCCTCTTTTCATCGTTCTTCCGTTCGCCCAGGGCATCTCAAATTGCTCTCTGATTCTGCCGGGCTTGTATATGCATACGTGACTTTCTGGCACGTTGCCGGACAGAACGGAAAAAGAGACTTGAAGACATGTTACATACCAAATCTGCAGGCTCCGGACTGTGCGCTAAACTAGACCAGCCTGACACTCTTGTGACTCTTGTTGTGAATCAATTACGTGCACAAGGCGAGTCAGGTCGTTTGTGACGGGGTTCAGGCTGTGAGTTTCACGGAGTTTTTTGCCAACATTCCGGCATATCAGCCGCGGAGACAGAGACAAGACCCCAAGTCCCTCTCCATAATGCAGACAGAGACGACATAATGACAGCATGCATGGCAAGAGGTCGGCGCAACAACGGTGTCAGGAGAACGCAAAGCGGGCGCAGACATGAGATCTGGGTGTCCAGCATGTCCGCCTCCTGCAAGTACAGGGCTTGGTTTCGAGAAGAGACAATTCCCGCGGAAGAGATCCGCGGTGAGCTTGGAGGCCTCGGAGTTCGGTCTGTCCGAGTTCGCCTCGACCTCCGCCTCAAGGGAGCGGCAGCAGTTCTCTGATCAGAGATCTCGCTTCGCTTTTCGTCTTCGTCTTCGTCTTCGTCCCGTCTCTGCATAGCTCATAGCAGTTGGCGCCTTTGGCTCTTTTTTTTGGATTCCCCGTGCCGTACTTCGCTCGGAAACAATGTCAGACGGGCGCTGCCAGCTCATTGGGAAGTGCGTGCGCCGCTGATGCAAACTCGTCCGATGGGGCAATGCCCGGCCGGCACCTGCCTCTGGGAAAAATCAAGAAAGCGCCGCAAAGTTTCTACAGTCTGTCACAGTCTGTTAGCTCCAGTCTTGACCCGAAAGATGACAGGCAAAGGCGGCAAAGGGCACAAGCTGCTCCTTCAATACAGCCCTGTACTTATCAACATAGTCTTTGGTGTTTCTTTGCTTGAAGTGCATTTCGGCCAGGCTTGATGGAAAAAATGCACACGAATTAAGGAGAACTGCCTGGCTTAAGGCCAAAAAGTTGCTTATTCCGCATGAAAAGGCTTGGGCAAGCCTGCGAAGACTTGCCAAGCAAAGGTTCTTTGTTACGGAACAGAGCTCCCACGCTCCGAGCCTGCAGGCCAGCCATGGCCAGCCTGTAGGCTCTCAGACCGTCTCAGCGCCAGAGCCTGCTCGGGAAGCGGCTTTCAACCACAGCCATTTCCCCACCTCTTGTGTGCCTCACCTGTTTAAACTTTGGATCGACTGCCACACAGACTCGGATGCACTGTTCTTGTGCAGATGCAAGACAAGCTTGAGGCACATGTACTGCAACTTAGCATAACAGCATCTGAAGACAGGGCTACTGGAATGAAGCTTGTAAGGTGTGTTCGTCATACTTACTGTCAAATTCTGAGTTCAATGCGAGGGGAAACCATAAACCCACCGAACAAAATTGGCGCTCACATAGCTGCACAATCCGAGCTTAATGGTTGGGAGGCGGGGGGGCTTCAATGCTAGTTAGGTATGAACTTCCATGGCCCAGGATCCGCGCGCGATTCGTGGAGGAGGAACTCTTCTGCTGCCATTCGGACGAAGGTTCAGAAAATGTCGAGCTCCGCCTTCAGAGACAGGCGCGTCGGGCGCGTCGCGTGAGAAGAACTGACGGCTTCGAGGGCGGCTCGGGCGACCTGGCAAAGCCCTGAGCTTCGGTTGGAGGCCCAGGCGTCGAAGTGGCCTCAGAGGCACGGATGCACGGAGTGTACAGGAAGCGACTCGAGCCACTCGAGCCCCAGCCCGGGCTGCTGACTGGATGCCGTGGAGTGGAGCAGCACCCCCCACGAGCAAACCACCGCCAAGTAGCCTTCTCTTGTCTCTGCACGCCATTAGTCCACTCGCTCTTTTGGCTCTGAGTCGCACACCATTTGCCCCGTTTGCCCTTAGCGAGTGCAGGGCATTTCACGACGGCCAAACTTCTGATCGTCTCGATTCATATGTGAAAGTTCAACTGAGCTCTTGCGCTTTATCCTGCCTCTTGGCCTTCTGCTTGCAAGGTGTGGCAGACGAGGCCTCCCGACAGGACGAAGATCATGCATAATTACCGACATCGTTTTGCATCAACTGATCTTGTGCAAGCTCAGCCGGCACCAACACTAAGCATCGTACAACGCCACTTCTTCCGCCACTTCTCGCTTTTGTCGCCACCTACACCATCAAAGCTAGGCTAGATTGGGTGGATTGTGTTGTGCGTGCAGTAATTTCCCAACGAACAGAAGCAAGCAGGCGGAAGTAAGTTGTTGATCGGCAGTCATTTTTTTCAGCAGGCATCTGCAACATCTGCAAAGTCCAACGGACCAAAAGCCTGTCAAGGCCTCGAGATGCCGTGGATTCAAGAGCCTGCAGCCTAAATCAGTGTGTCTGCGAAATCTCGGTCTCGCAGCTTTCAGCTGGTAAGCGCCATCATGTGCTGTCACCAGCACAACGATGGGCTTCCAGGACACTTCCTCGAGTATTGCGAATTTACCTTCACCGACAACGGTCTGACAAAGAACTGAGGCCCTGGCGCAGCAGCACAGATGTCGGCAGAAGCAGTATTGATCTTCTCCACATCGCACCTCGCTGCTGACAAGGAGACACTCGATGGCAATAGCAGCTCCGATCATCCTATAGGCCTCCTCACTCAATGTGCGACTCAGCTGCGCAGCAGGCTTTATCTCCTCGTTCCATCTGCATCTGAAACCAATTCCTGCAGTCTGACAAACAAGAGCTGCTGCGGCTTCAGATGAAACTTGCAAGTCCTCTGTGGATGATGTAGGATGCTTGACACGAGCCGGCGTTCGCCATCGAACAGTGTGGCACCTCGGTGGTCAAGACTCAGATGAGTCAGTGGATCTCGAGTCAATGCACACATCGCTAGCTTCCGCTGTAAGAAGCTTCAAGCGCGGCAGCGCCACCAGACGCAGTGTAGAGCAGTCTAGACTGCCCCCGCTGCCTTCGAAAGGTCGGATCCTTGTTGGCCCAACAAGAAAAACATGACAGCACTGAACCCAGAGCCGAGTGCAAACGGCGATATTCCAGAAGGGGATCCTTTAGCATGTCCGGCAAATACTAACTCCGTCGCCAAGCTTCATGCTCTTCGTGACACCTGGAGTTTTCACGGTCAGGTTGAAGCCGCTTTGAAGCACGGAGTCATGTGCCTGCAAAGCGTATGCAACATACTACGAAGATCCACTGACTGTGAGTGCTTCGAGCGCCGGCTCTGAACCAAAACTGGAGAGCCCATATGTACTGACATCGCCACCTGAATCAGCAACAGTTTGCACTAACTTGGCCAACACCAGCCTATTTAACATCTCGCATGTGCTTGTGAAGTTGCATCAGTCTCCACACAGCACCTAGAGTTGCTGATCTAGGAGTCACCCAGTTTTGTGAACCAATGAAACCAAGCTAGCTTCTGCTTTATGGCAAGTGGCACCAGCTGATCCTTGGAGTCTCGCAGCTCACTTCGCTTTTTGCCCCGGCTGACGCACTGCGCATTTTGCTGGCACGACACTGTAACACAGCAGGAAAACTCCCAGCTGAGAGAAGGAGAAATGCGCCTCGCCAAAGCCAACCTCATGCTCCCGACACTCTTCGTGGAATGGCGGGCTTCGAACAACTCCCATCAGCACATACGAGTGCAAGCGTCCCTACATTGAAGGCATCACCAGTACCAGTGGCTTTCCTTGCTTGCGCGGTTGCCAGCCTGGGAAGCTAACTAAATGCAGGCGAGAAACATCTTTGTCCGGTCTTACCGAGTCACAGGTAGTGTCTTTGCTTACGAAGATTGCCTCCCGTGCGAGCGTTCTCGCGTATGCCAGTTCAGTACTGCAGGTATTGTCTTTTGCCGTCTCCCGGCTATTCCCCATTGGCGCTCGAGATCCGTAAACAGCAAGTTACGTCCCCTCTGAAGCTCACAGACAGTCTGTTCGGACGAGTTGTATGCCAATGCTTCGTGCGCAATCGTTTCCTGGCTGCAAACTCCGGGTCCGACAAATTCTATGCAGAACCAAGGCAGAAGTGGCAGAACTGCGTTCACTTACTGACTTAATTGGACTACGTCCTTTGGACGACGTGAGACGCTGGACAAACCGTAGAGTAAGTTGAAGTAGCTGGCTGTCGAGACAGCAAAGCAGCAACAGCTCGCTTCGGACGACACAATTCAGGATACCCGCCTTGCTTGCGCACCTGTCTTGTAGCTACGCGCAAATAAAGCAGAACACGCGGAAGTTGATCGGTCTTCAAGAAGTCGCTTCGGATGCTGCTTTGCGTGGAGATGCTCCTGTGCCACATCACCTGCTCTTTTACTCCATGTGACGGCGGTGTGCTTGATGCAGGAGCAGTGCCGACATTTCGACCGCGGGTTGGAGAACAAGTTGGCCAAACACCTTCTCAAAATGTTTGCTGAGTGCTGATGTAAATGGTACGTAAAGGCCCCGATTCTGCACTGACCATCGCCGTTGGTGTATGTTGTGACCTGTGCAAATTGCAGCATCTGCAGGCTGTACGCTTGCCGGGTTTCACGCCGTTTGGCGCTTGCACTGAGAAGTCGTGAGGTTAAGGCTGATCAGCCCGCTGCCGTTGCCCAGCTGTCGGCTTCTGAAGTGCAGGCCCTGCCCGGTCATGGCCGGCCCGCGTTACGGCGTTGGTCCGCACACGCAGCGTTCTATCAGATCGCGTGGGTTTTGCTTTCGTCGCCCAGCTCAAAAGAAGTTAATACAAAGTTGGACGGCCACAAGCAAGATTGTTCCAGCCACGGATCGAGGCATCTCTCATGCCGCTGCTGAGAAAGTTTCGCCAAGAACTAACACACAGCCTATGGGGAGAGTTCCTGGAGAAGAGATGCCTGTCCGATATTGATATGTGCAGGCACTCCTGGCAAAGAGGGTTCTTCGTTGCCCTGCATGCGAGAGGTTGATGCGCCTTGTCACCTTCAGCAGCCCCTGCGAAGGTTATAGAGGTCAAGACCTGGAATCGGAGCCCGCGCGTGATCTTGAAGCACGACATCTTGAGGCACGACATAGCGCGACAACACGACACCCTCTCTGAACATCTCTTGCGGAGTTGGGTGCGTTGACTGTCGCCAAGGTGGGCCAAATCGATGATACCGTTGCAGGCGAGGTTGCAGCCGGTACCGGCTCATTCAGTACCTGCATGCACGGCACAGCACCGTCACGAAAGATGCTGTGCCATGGTGCGGCTCTCTGCCTGCAGAACTTTGTCAGGTTGCCGCACCCATTGGCAGCTGTCGGGAGCTTGATAACAAAGAATCTCGTTCCGAGCATGAGATGCCGCAACCTGGTATGCGCGGCATACATGACCCGGATCTCGAGAGACATCGGCTCACGTGCCGGTCGTCAATGCAGCCGTGTCTCAGGTCGGTAGGCAATCTTTCCAAGCGGGCCGGGCATCGGCCCGTTGGCAACATCAATGTCGAAAGCTTCCCGAAGGCTAGAGTAACCTCGTGCAAGCACGGGTCACCATCTGGTACACGAATGGTGCTCACACCTGAGGTCCGCACACGGTGTGCAGCCTGTAACCTCTTGTGCGAAACATACCTTTCCACCAACTTGGGCTTGTCCTTCGAAGTTTTGCCACTTGCCCCAGACATAGACTGTGTTCTCAGTGTTGCTTCTGATAGTTTTGGGACTGAACCTTGGTTGGGCTGCCAATGCAAAGGCTGCACACGCCCACATGATGTCACATGCGCGCTCACACGCACACACATGTGTAAACTTCATGAAAGGAATAACTAGATTTTTTGACATCACTTCTTTGGAGTTCTCGGCTTGGCCCGTTGCCATACAATATCATACACTGCAGGTATGTGGAGTGATCAGCCCCTGTATCATCCTGTATCACAGGCATCCAGCAAACGTCTTTGTTAGCACCGGACTTGCTGGATCCTCCGGTGCCCCCTGCAATTGGACTACAAACGAGCCTGCTCAATACCTTGGCAAATAGGGTGTGACACACACACACACACATATATACTCCCGATTAAGGAGCAGCTAGCCAACAACCTTTTCACTTGGGGCTGACCATGACGGCTCGCAGGTCACAGCCGCGGCCCCGTCCGGATGCCTTTAGGTGGCGTCGTCCGGGGTGAGGGTCCCGCTCCTTTTTTGAGGCTTGGGTCCTGCCCCCTTGTTGTCGTCTAACCACGACAACTCGCAGGTCAAAGCCGCGGCCCTGTCATGTGTCCAGGACAAAATTGCACCCGAGTCAATATCTGCACGTCAATCGAGCGTCCACACCCGACCCTTGGACACGTGGATAAGCTCCCCGAAAGGAGTAGCGACCTCTTTGGGGTTCTCCGCTTGGTCCCTTGCCCATGGACCACAAGCGTGCTCAATCCCTTGGCAACCAGGGTCGTGACGCACCGCCCACCCACTCACCCACACCACCCACCCACCCCCACCCCCAGAAGCGCAGAATTTTACACATCCGGGTGCTTGTCTGTTTCACGTATCACACGCATATATCTATGCCTGTTGCTCAAGGTTCTAGCAGAATACTGATCGACAGCCTTGCGCCTGTACGGAAGCTCCACACACGTGGAGGTGCCGTAGGTACGCTCCATCCTAGTGGAAGCAACCGGATCTCCGGTGTGCTTCACCCAGGTGAAGGTGACCGGAGTCTCTCCGGTATACTTCGCTTAGGTATCTTAGGTGAAGAGAACCGGAAGAGTAATCTCCCGGGGCTCGATCCGTGGACAGCGCAATGGCTATCCACTCTGCTGTGCCTTTTGAGCATGGCGAGGGAGATGATGATTACCTCCCTCAAGGTAATGAATCTTATGTGACGACTCACCGACATCTCCAAGAATATTCCAAGAATCACACCGACTTTCAGCTTTCAGCATGTGACGACCAAAGTACCGCCGTCTTATGACGGGCGAGCAGTTGGTTTGCCTACGAGGATGCGATCGACGAGTGGATATTGCTGAGTTGGACGGCGACCAGCGAGGACCAGCTTTGCGAAATCGGTTGGAGGGTGAAGCAGCGATTCACACACGGCTTTTTGACAGAGAACGCAAGAAGGACCCGAACAACGGAGTGAGGTACTTCAAGAGTTTCCTGCGGCCGCTCTTCGTGAAAGGTGC